GCGGGTTACCACAGTTCGCCCAGCTCCAGGGAGGCTCGCAGGGGACGAACGGACGGTCGAGATTCTCCAGGGTTGTGTGTCAGTAACGACGCTAGGAAGGTCAGGAAACGGAAGAAACGTGGAAACTTCTTTTGGCTGTTCTGCTGCGGCCGGGAAAGCGGAGGTTCCGTTGCTGACATCAGCTCCATCCCCAGCTGCCAGGTTTCGGACGACGGCCGTCAGAATGTAACGGATTCCGTCGTATCTCTGACGGCGGCCGGCAGGCCGATCGGAGAGCCGTCAGTGCCGCCAGAGAGCGCGGCAGAGACGCGTAAAACAGCGTCTGGTCGGTGGCTGCTGGATAGTGGCTTCCTGGAAGATTCGTCGCACGTGTTGACTTCGTTGTCGCAACAACAGCCGGATGCGTCGCAGGCGATTCCGCCGTTGTCGCATGCCAGCGGTTGCGATGTCGCTCACGCCTCGTCCTCCGTCCAGCAGTGCATCAACGATCCAGCAGGCGACGTTTTCGCAAAAGACCTTTCACACATCCCTGGTCCATACGAGCCGTGCGACACATGCGAAGCCGGCGACGTTCGTGAGCTGTGCGACCCCTTTCTCCTACCGGCAACAGCAGGATGTGCGGGCACAGCGACAGGAGCGGAATCCGACCAGAGAGTGGGTGATGAGGATAGGCGGGGGGAATGCGGTGTGGGAAAATGCGGTGAGGCGGAAGAAGCGTGCGCGCAGCGGGGGAGGAGCCCCACCCCCCAGGCGGTCGACGTTGCAGTGGGCGTGAGCCCCGAGGGAGTCCTTGCGCGGACTCCGATAGTAGAGGCGGGGGAAGCGTGCGCGCAGCGGCGGCGGAGCCCCACCCCCGAGGCGATCGACGTGATGAGCCTGCTGCAGGGGCTCAGCGACGGGGAGGAGGAGGCGGACGGGGGAGGGGAGGCGGACGGGGAAGGGGGGGAGGACGCGGAGGGGGAGGAGGAAAGCGATGGGGACGGAGAGGAGGCCGCGGCGGGAAGATGTGCGGATGGAGAGCTGGAGGAGGCGGAAGGGGAGGATGAGGAGGAGGGTGAGGGGGACAAGTGCAATCGGGAGGAAGATGAGAATTGGGAAGTGGCGGACAGGGAGAAAGAGGAGGTAGGGGAGGAGGCGGACGGGAAGGGCGCAAGTGAACCCCAGTTGCCCCAGCTTCACCAGCTTCACCAGCCATATGCGCCTCCACAGCCCAAGCTACAGGAGCAAACTCACGAGCACGAGCGAAAGCAGGAGCTGCAGTATTGTCAAGCGGAATACGGGTCGAGTGCTGCTGTTGGCCAGGACGAGAAGACGCTGTTAGCTCCTCTCGCGGTTGAGTGCGGTGGGGAGGGTGTGGCAGCGGTAGAATGGAGTGCTGTTGCTCGCCAATGCGGTGTAGACGATGGTGGCACTGTAGTGGCTGTAACGGAGTGTGACACTGTGACGGAGTGTAGCACTGTAACGGATTGTGGCTCTAACGCGTATTCGAGCTCCGTGGCTTGTTCGACCACGGCAGGCCCGGGGAAGCAGGCGGAAGGGCATGCGGAAGAAGACAGGGGGGAAAGCAGCGCACAGGGTGAGGCGCGGAACGGGGGATTTAAGGCGCAGAGTCACAGGGTGGGTGAGGGGGGAGGCACAGGGGGTAAGCGCAAGGGCAGGGGCAGGGGCAGGGGCAGGGGGCGAGGGAGAGGAGGGGCTATGGGCGGGGTACGGGAGTGGAAGGGGAGGAGCGGGGGAGGAAGCCAAAGCGGGAGAGGTGATTGGGACGGGGGGAGGAGAGGAGGTGGGGAAGAGTCATGGTTGGACGAGGGATGTTTGGAGGAGTTGGGTGCGGTGGAGGCGGGTTTGGAGGAGAGCGTTCAGTCGAACGACGTGGAGGTGGAGGGGAATGGGGGAAGGGATGTGGGCGGGGCGGAGGGGAGTGTGGTGGAATGGGGAGGCAGGGGCGAGGGGGAGGAGGTTGATGGGGGGATGGGTGGGGAGAGTCGATTGAAGGGGAGGGTAGGGGAGGAGCGGGAGAAGGGAGACGAAGGAGAGAAGGGAGAGGAGGAAAAGCAGTGTTTGGGGGATTTGAAGGATGGGGAAGAAATGGAGGATGGAGAGGGAGTGGAGGATGGGCAAGGGGTAAACGATAAGGGCGGGCCTGGCGGTCGGGTGGGTTTGGAGGATGGGAAGGGACGGGAGGGTGGGGAGGAGATGAGGCATGATGGCCAGAACGGAGGGAAGAACGAGGGAAAGGATGGGGGGAACTGGGAGGGTGGGAGGAGACTAGGAGACAGAGAGGAGGTCGAGGGGAGAGGGAGAGAGAGACGGAAGGACGATGAGGGAGGGGTGGGAGATGCGATGAGGGAAGAAAAGGAGGTTGAAGGTGGTGAGGCAGGAGGAGAGGCGAGGCGGAAAGAAGGGAAGGCTGACGCAGATGGGGCAGGGGGGCAGACGAGGAGGAGGGAAGAAAAAGGGGGTGAAGCAGAAGGGACAGGAGGCGAGGCGAGGAGGGAGGATCAGGGGCAGGGCGGAGGTGGGAAGGGGAGGTACTGGGGACTGGTGAGCATGGGCGTGCTGGCATGGTTGAGAGAGGAGGAGGCGGAGGGGGGGAGGGAGAAAATGAGGGAGGAGGGGAAGGAGGAAGTGAGGGAGGAGGGGAAGGAGGAGGTGAGGGAGGAAGTGAGGGAGGGGAAGGAGGAAGTGTGGGAGGGGAGGGAGGAAGTGAGGGAGGAAGTGAGGGAGGAAGTGAGGGAGGAAGTGAGGGAAGAAGTGAGGGAGGAGAGGGAGGAAGTGTGGGAGGGGAGGGAGGAAGTGAGCGAGGAAGTGAGGGAGGAAGTTAGGGAGGAATTGAGGGAGGAGGGGAAGGAGGAGGTGAGGGAGGAAATGAGGGAGGAAGTGAGGGAGGAGGTGAGGGAGGAGGAGGTGAGGGAGGAGGAGGAGAGGAAGGAGAGTGAGGAGAGGGAGGAGAGGGGGGAGAGGGAGGAGGGGGAGGAGAGGGAGGAGAGGGAGGAGAGGGAGGAGAGGGAGCAGAAGGAGGAGAGGGAGGAGAGGGAGCAGAAGGAGGAGAGGGAGGCGGAGAACATAGCTGGTGCAGGGGTACTGGAGGCGCATGAAGACTTAGCAGAGGATGGAGACTTAGCAGAGGATGCGGAGGTTAGAGGGGTGAATGCCCTCTCGGCGGGCAGCAGCAGCGCCGTGGCTGCCGATATGGGCGCTGTTTTTGAGTCGACTCAAAAACTGGAGGAAGATGGAGACTTAGTGGAGGATGGGGAGGTTAGAGGGCTGAATGCCCTCTCGGCGAGCAGCAGCAGCGCCGTGGCTGCAGATACTGGCGCATTGAACTCCCTCCTGGCGGAAAGCAGAGCGGTGGTAATGCGTGGAGGGTGGGCAGAGGGTGAGGAAGAAGAGGAGGGGCGTGGGTTGAGCCCTCTCCTGGCGAGCAGCAGACGAGCCATGAGCAGAATCGAAGAGGCGTGGAGGGAGGGCGTTGGGGAGAGGAGCGCGGGGAGTGTGGTTATGATTGATATGGAGGCGGACGAGGAGGAGGAGAAAGAGGAGGGTTCAGGGGTGGTGTCCATAAGTTGTGCGAAAGGGAACGGGATGGATGCGGGAGGTGGGAGCAGAGAGGAGATGGAGGGAGGAGAGGGGGGTGAGAAGGCTGGGGAAGGAGAAGGGCATGGATTGCCTGGGAGTAAAGCAAACGTGATTACCGAGTTGACTGGAGAATCATCAGAGGCCGAGGGGAGAGACGCGATTAAAAGGACTGGCAAACGAGAGGGGGATGAATTGGCTGGGAGTAGGTCAAAGCAGGGTAGAGGAACTGCAGAGAAATCAAACGAAATGGTCAGGCAAGAACCTGGCGATATTCCTCAGTTGAGGGGTACAATCAACGTTCCTTGCGCTGCGGCCGATAATAGTGAGGGAGGGCAGAGAGAGAGGTTCGTGTTCGACCCAGACTTACTCGCCTCAACGGAGGACGTGTTTCATCGCCACAGCGCTGCTGGTAGTGCGGCTAAAGGTGCTGGCAGTGGGGGCGAGCAGAGAGAGAGGTTCGTGTTCGACCCAGACTTACTCGCCTCAATGGAGGACGTGTTAAATCGCCACAGCGCTGCTGACTGGAGCAAGGTCACCCCGCCAATCAGCCCAGGGAAAGGCGAATACACAAAGGAGGAAGCTGTTGGTGCCGGAGGAGGCAGGGAGGAGCAGCGAGGAGCTGGAGAGAAGGCGGATGTGCTGCAGCTGCTTTTAGAGGTGGGCCCTTCCCAGGAGCTGCCTGATCCGGCAGCACGGGAACCATCCCCAGGTGATATTTCAGGTGCAGCAGAGGGTGTGGTGGTTATGCAGATGTTTGAGGGTCAGACCAGAATGGACCAACCATGCATTTCAGGAGTTATTCCAGGTGCAGAGGGGCTAGAGAATGTGCCAAGCCTAGAGGATGTGCCGAGCCTAGAGAATGTGCCAAGCCTAGAGAATGTGCCGAGCCTAGAGAACGTGCCGAGCCTAGAGAAGGTGCTGAACCCAAAGAGAGCCTTGAGTCTCCAGATTGAGGATGCAGCAAACCTGCCAACCTGTGATATTGTGTCGAGTGCACAGGAAATGCCGAACCTACAGAAGGTGCCGAGCCTGCATGAGGTGCCGAGCCTACAGGAGGTGCCGAGCCTACAGGAGGTGCCGAGCCTACAGGAGGTGCCGAGCCCAGACGAGTCTATGAGTCCGAAGCTGCCCCCAAGCCCAAGGGGTGGGGTGACCAACAATACAAGCCCCTATAAGCTCACAAGCCCTTACAGTCACAGCAGTTCGTTTAAGCATGGCAGCCCTTACAATCACGGGAGCCCTTATCAGCGCAGCCACCCATACAAGCACAGGCGCCTAAAGTCAGACATGCCTGCAAGCCCAGCAAGCCCAAGCACCCAAAGTAACAGTCTTCATACTCAAGGCAGTCCTGGCCGGCTGCTTTTCCTCTCTATAAGCAGCCTCCGTTTCTCTGCTGGCGCTGCTTCTGGCGCTTGTACCAGCGCTGTTACTGGTGGTGAGAGGGACGGCGGCTCTGGTCGTGGTGGCGGCTATGCCGCTGCTGCTGGTGCTGCCGGTGCCGCTGTTGGGGGTGCCAGCTGGCGGATTGGCGTGAACAGTGCTTCTCTGCGCCGCCTCTTCTCCTCTGCTGCTTTGGATGCCGAAGGTGGAAGGGCAGGAGAGGAAAGGGTTGAATTGGATAGTGGTGGGGGAAAGGCGGGAGAGGTTGCGGGAGAGTTGGGGCCAGCAAGGGCAGAGGAAGGGGGAGAAGCAGTGAAGCGTGAGGCTGCATCAACAGTGATGAGTGCTGGAGGGGCAGGGGCAGGGGTGGGGAAAACACAGGGGGAGCGAGGAATGGGGGACTGGGATGGCAGAGGCATGGATGGAGATGCAGGAGCAGCTGCAGCAACAGAAGTAGCAGAGGAATCAGCAGCAGGGAGAGAAGCGGAAGGAGAGGAATGGAGGATTGCTGGACATGGGGGAGAGAAGGGAGTAGGAGCACCATCGGCACCAGCATCGGCTGCAGATTCGGTTGCTGCTTCGATTGGGACACAGATTTTAGTTGCGGAAGCAACAGCGGCCGATGCAGCAGCAGCAGAAGCACCAGCAGCAGAACCAGCAGCTGCCAACGCATCAGCAGCAGCAGCAGAATCAGCAGCAAAACTGTTACCCATTGAAGTGGCACCACTCTCAGCAGACGCGCAGTTGGCAGCAGCACGTGCGCTTTTGTCCTCATTTGAGAGGAGGTGTCCGCCAGGTGGGGAGAGAGGCGTGGTGCTGTATGTGACGACTTTAAGAGCCATGAGGAGCAACTTCGAGGCGTGCTGTGCTGTCAGGCAGATGCTTAAGGTGAGAGGAGAGATGCTTGATGTTACCAGGAGATGCTTAGAGTGAGAGACACACGCGCACTGGTGACAGACAGATGCTGAAGGTGAGAGGTCTTCCCATGCCATGGGTGGTGCTGTATGTGGCGACGCTAAGAGCTGTGAGGAACAACTTTGATGCCTGCTGCGCGGTTACACAGATGTTCAAGGTGAGAGGCAGATTCGAGGTGGGAGTCACTCATGCGCTGTGTGCGCACTCACGCCGCACCTCTTTGCTTCCGACCGCACCACTTCAGCCGCCCATAAGACCCCACCTGCCTCTCCTCTCGATTCTCTTCCCTTCTCCCTCTTCCCTTCTCCCTCTCCCCCCCCCCCGTCATCCCTCCCCAAATCAGGCCCTCGCCATTCCCTTCCAAGAGAGGGGCGTGTCTCTCCATCTGCCCTACCGCCAGCAGCTCAGAGCGCTCATAGGCCGCTCCTCCCTCTCCCTGCCGCACCTCTTTGCTGCCGGCTGCTGCCCTGGGGGCGCTGCCGCTGTGCTGTGCCTGGGGGAGCAGGGGCTGCTGCATCCTTAGAGGAGCCTTTTCAGTCGCCTAAAATATCTTTTTTCCCTCTCTTCTCGTTGCTCTCCCACTCTACCTCCCCCATTCAGGCCCTCGCCATTCCCTTCCAAGAGAGGGGCGTGTCTCTCCATCTGCCCTACCGCCAGCAGCTCAGAGCGCTCATAGGCCGCTCCTCCCTCTCCCTGCCGCACCTCTTTGCTGCCGGCTGCTGCCCTGGGGGCGCTGCTGCTGTGCTGTGCCTGGGGGAGCAGTGGCTGCTGCATCCTTAGAGGAGCCTTTTCAGCCGCCTAAAATACCTCTTTTCCCTCTCTTCTCGTTGCTCTCCCACTCTACCTCCCCCATTCAGGCCCTCGGCATTCCCTTCCATGAAAGAGACGTGTCTCTCCATCTGCCCTACCGCCAGCAGCTCAGAGCGCTCATAGGCCGCTCCTCCCTCTCCCTGCCACACCTCTTTGCTGCCGGGCGCTGCCTTGGGGGCGCTGCCGCTGTGTTCCGGCTCGGGGAAGAGGGGCTACTGCTGCCACTGCTCGCTGCTGCCCTGGCGGACGGTGCTGGTGAGGGAGGGGCAAAACCGGTTGGAAAGGCAACGGTAGAGGCAGCAAAAGCAGGAGCAAGAGGAGGAGTAGCAGCAGCTGGGAAAACAATAGGTTCAGCATTCGACTGTGTAGGCCCAGTGGCCACCGCAAGTGGAGCAGCGATTGCAGCAGAAGGAGCAGCGCCAGCAGCAGCAGATGCGGCAGCTTCTGATGAAACTACCGGGGCTAGCGGTGCTGCTGCTGCTGTGGTTGCTTCAAGAACTGAATCTGATGCTGCCTGTGCACCAATGAGTAAAGCCCCTGAAGAGACAGCAGCAGACGCCAGTACTGGTGCTACAATTGGCACTGTCAGCCACGCAAAGGCAGCAGAGGGTGGTGGTGAGTCGCATTGCATTACGACTGTAGAGCCTTGTAAGGCTGGCGTGGCTGGCTCTGGCGTGGCTAGCGCTGGTGTGACTAGCTCTGGTGTGGCTGGCAGATCCAGCGTGAGAAGAGCACTGTTCCATAGCAACATCGGGGGTGCAGAAGGTATTAATGCAGCCAGCAGTGCTGCTGCCGGGGATATTTCCGCCGATTTCACTGCTTTGGCCGGCCCTGCTGGGGCAGGCCCTTCTGGGGCAGGCCCTTCTGTGCCAGCCTTTGCTGTGCCAACGGCTGCTCTGTACTCGGGCGGCTATGGCAGCAGCTGTGGCAGCAACAGTGTGGCGAGTGGAGGCGTATTCGGGGAAGGTTATAGTGGCATGTCGGGGGAAGGTACATCTGGGGAAGCCTATGCAGGTACATCTAGGAAAGCCTATGCAGGTACATCTGTAGAAGCCTATAAAGGCAGATGGGAAGGTGCATCTGGAGAGGCTTACAGAGGTACATCAGCGGAAGACAGTGTAGGTATATCTGGAGGGGTTTACAGGGGAACGTATGGGGAAGGTGCATCTAGGGAGGGGCGTAACCAGAGAAGCAGCAGAGGCAGCAGCAGCGGCATGGGGTCTGCTGCTTGCTTCCCACCCCGCTCCCTCTCCTGCAACGCAGCTGCTGTCGCTGACGTGGCAATAGCTGGTGCCGCCAGGCGTGCACTCGCCCGCCCACATGGCAGCAGCGGCGGCCTGAGTCGTGCCACATCAGCACGTTCAATCTCTGTTACAGGCAGTCGGGCTGCTGCCAATCGTGCTGTCAAACTGCATGCAACACAACAAGGAAAAGGTTGTTTCGCGTGTGGTGGGTTGAGGTATCTTATCTGCACTCTGTGTGGGGGTAGCCGGGAGGTGCTATCCCGAGATGGTTGGTCCATGCGGCAATGTGTGCACTGTGATCCTCGTGGAATCATAGTCTGCCCTCGCTGTAGAGATTTGTAAGTTATACGTTGCAAGGTGAAAGTGAAATGGTTGGTCTGAACTTCTGAACTGTACACTGTACGCTGGTACTGCGGTAGTATCTATGGATGCCTGGTCCCTGCGCCTCTTTGTGCATTGGAATCCCCGTGGAAATAACTCCGCCATGGTGTATAACTACCATATACGGGGGTTGCGCTGACCTGGTTGGTACGCAACGCACACCCACCGTGCGGGACCAGTTACATCCCAGGGCTGGTAGGGTGGCGAGGCGACCGGGAGGACTAAAAATGACGCGTGATGGCTCACCACTCATCATGATTCATTAAATTGCATATATCTGATACAGAACAGGTAATGTAATATATGCACATAAAAAGGGAAATTATAAAGAAAGAATAGCCCAATTGTGGACTTGAACCCTTCCTCCCATGTTCACCATCCATCCCACCCCAAGCAAGCCAGCATCACACCGTAGAAATACCAGGACTGCGTGCTCTTATGCCATGCCCCTGGCTAACGCATACTAGGTTTCCAAGTAGAAACCCAACCGAACCCAGCACAACCCAGCCCAACCAGCCCACTTTAAAAGCCTTCAGCCCACACTCCTCCTCCTTGGGACAATTCAAAGGCTGTCTCTGCCCATGTTCCTGACATGCTTCAAAAGAAGGCATCCTCCTCCCCTTCCACTTTCACGCATGCCAACAGCCTCCTCTGCTCTCTATACTCAAAGCCCTAAGCTTTATCCCAACCCACAAGTCACCTCCTCCTCTTCCCTCACAGCCTCCTCCTTCCATGATTACTCTTGAGTATACTCAGAATGTAGAATCTTCTCCTCTTGCATCTCCTCCAGCCACTTTCAACAGCCCTGTGCTCCCTCCCACTCCTCTCCTCCTGCCTTACCCCGCCCTCCCCTCCATTACCCTCCTCAGGACACCCTCTGCTCCCCCATGCATCCTGAGACGTCTCACACCTTCTTCTCCCCCTCCTGCATCTCCCTCAGACACTTTAACAGCCGTCCTCTCACACTCTTTCTGCCTTTCCCCACTTTTCCTTCCATTATCCCAAGAACTCCCTTCTGCTGCTGCTGCTGCTGCTCACGACGGCTAGCCATTCTGTCCGCCCACGTGCCCCTCCGCCTGCCCCCACGCACTCCCTCAGTAACCCGCAACAACTGCGGAGGAGAAGTCTTTTGCCGACTCAGAAGCCTCTTTCCCCCAGCCACTCCTCCAGTGGCTCGCACCAACTGGGGAGGAGAGAATCTATGCTGGATCAAACGCCTCTTGCCTGTAGCCACTCCAGCCTGCCCTACCCTCTTTAGCATGCCCTCCTGCCGCTGATGCCTGCTCGCCACCTTGTCCCCCATTGCCTGTCCAGCCTGCATTCCCCCACTCAGCGCTCCCTCCTGCTGCACACGCCTGCTCGCCATTCTCTCCGCCCATGTGCCCCTCCGCCTGCCCCCACACACGCCACCAGCGGCTTGAACGGACCCGGGAGGAGAAGCAACGACCAGACACCTTCCCCTCTCCGCTTCCTCCGGCCTCTACACTGTCTTGGAATCATCTCCCTCTTCCGTCACTTCTCCTTCCTCCACCTCTCCCTCCTCCCCCACCCCCTCTTCCCCTTTCTCCCCAACCTCCCCCTCCTCCCGTTCGTCCACCTTCAACCCCCACTTCCCCCATCCGTCCTCCCCCCTGCTCCCAGCAGTGCCAGCATTGACTTGCACTGACCAGGCACCAGCACCAGCGCAGTCAGCAGCCAAGACAGCAGCACCCAAGTCAGCAACCACGTCAGCAGCAGGGTCCGTTGACCCCTGTTGACTCGCACGCCCGCCAACAGGAGACTCGGGGGAGGTGCTATCTGTGCACGTCCCATCACCACCATGAGGGAGAGAATCGGCAGTACCATCTGAGCAGCGTGTCCCTCGCGTCACGGGAGAAAGGGGCCGTGGAGGGCGGCGGTTGCAGGTAGCGTTGACCAGGAGGCATGGCTTCTTGGCGCGGGGTGCGGTGGAGGGGGCGGTGGCGGGGGCAGTTGGTTTCTCCTGGCCTGCTCGCACTGCCCGCACTGCCCGCTCTGTCTGCCCTGGCGATAGAGCACGGGCATGGTAGCGCCAGTAGTTGGGTGCTGGCAGTGAATGTTGACGCCCCAGTGACTTCTCACGCTCCAAAACCTCTCTATTCACCTGCCACGTGGCACGAGACCGCTTCCCCGCGCTCCCTCCTCCTCTTCCCTCTGCCGCTGCTGCATTCACTGTCGCTGCACCGGCAACGTCTGTGGTCAACGCGGAGGGCACTGGCACTGGCAGCGGTAACAGTGGCGCCTTCCGTACTTCCCGCTTTATTGACGCGGCGCGCGCGATCGGGCGCGACGCACTTCCGCCCTCCGCGCCGGCGAGAGGGGTCACAGTCGCGTCAGTCCCAGTCGCAGTCGCAGACGCAGCCGCAGATGCAGTCGCAGTCGCAGTCGCAGTCGTCGCCGGACTGTGGGGAGTCTCAGCTTCCGGGGGCCCTCCAGGGGTAGCAGTCCGAGTCGGACTGTGCCGCCCGGGCAGCCGCGACTTGCTCTTGCCGCCGATCATCTCTGGGGTTTCCGGGTCGTTCGAGGGACGCGGCGACGCGAGGAGGAGTTTCGACACCTCGCTACGAAGCGCGTCCTCGCCGGCATCACTGTCGTCGGCCGTGCCGTCCGCGTTATGCGCACCGACTGCGCCGTCCGCACCGTGCGCACCGTCGGCGCCGGCGTCGTTGCTGTGCGGCGACAATGACGACCCGTCGCCTGCGCTGCCGTCACTGTCGTTTCCAGCACCGCGCAACGGCGTCACTGTCGTCAGCGAGTCACCGTCGCCAGCGTCGCCGTCATTGTCGCATCCCTGCAGTACCAGATCTAACCTCCAGCCTCGAACCGCTTCAGGCATTTCGTCAGATTCCGCCGCAGGTTCTGCTCCTGCTGTCAGCGCAGGTGTCGCGGCAGGTGTCGCCGCAGGTTGCGCCCACTCTGGAGACGTCCCAGGAATTGCAGGCGTCGCAGGTGTCGCACGAGTCGCAGGCGTCGCAGTCGTGTGCGGATCTAGCGCAGGTATAGCAGAAACGTTGCGAGTCGCTTCCACAACCAGATCAGGCGACAAACTTCTTGCGAAACCGCGTCTTGTCGGACGCTCGCTATTACTAGTAGCAGGCGAAGGAGTCAGTTCGCCACTATTCGTAGCAAGCGCGGTAGGCACTTTGCTGCTAGGAGGCGACGAAGTTATACTAGGCTGATTGGACGTGTCATTAGTGACGTCAGACAGAGCGGATCGTGGGATTCGAACAGCCTGTCGCCTAGCAGTAGTACGGCGAATAGTAGCCATGGCGGCCAGAATCGTACGAACGAATCGCAGTTACGTGCCTTTTGGAAGGGACCAAGGTTGATAGGATTAATAAAATATATAGAGACAATAATGATAATCGCTTCTGATTCTATGACTGGAAGCCTGTAAAAGGAGCTAACGACGAGCGTGATCTGCTGCTGAATCACTAGAACGAGCTGCTAGAAAATGACTGGAAGATTATGCGAGTCAAGAGTTCCAGGACGATCCAAGTTGAAGAAGCTAGTTGTAAAAGTGCGCTCGGCTGCCATGACGACTCAAAACAGAGCGAACGAGCCGAGCCGAGATCACATAAAGCAGTGGAGTAGCGGAGCACTGCCTTGAGATAAAGCAGCAGAGGAGGTTGGATTCGATTCGACGGATGGAAGGATGGCCGGGTGCGTCTCTCACCGCACGATGTGCGAGAAAACAGGATTCGACGGCCAGATATGCGTATTTTTGTCTGAAGCCAGTTTCAGCAATTGCCGCCAAGCCGTTTGAACCGAATTTTGAACCCGTCGCTTGGCGGCAGCGGCTCGCGATTCGGCTGCAAAAATGGAATGCTGCACGTACTCGTTTTGAAAGACACATGACTCGTTAGGGAATTTTATATGCAGCTTTGTTGGCAAATGGTAAGCGTTAAATCTAGTCGATAACAATCATGCTAAATCTCGTCGTTGTGGTAGACAGGTTTCAATGCAAGAAAAACGCCTAGTATGTTCTGAAATAAAAACAAACATGGCTAGTTAATGACATGCTTGTTTAAAGAAGGTTGTGAGAATACAGATAGTGGATATTGCTATATCCATTCAGCTTTGTTACATCAATTTCGGTGCCAGCATGGTCAGGGTTACTGCCACGCGAGCACGCGCTTTCTGATCCATAGCGTGTGGCTGGATTTCAGGGCTACCACGCCAGCGTGGCTCGGCGCTGGGCTATGTGTAGTTCGCGCCATGTGGTGTCAGTCAGCAATTCGCCCGTGAACCCATCTCACCTGCCAAAAATTACCGGGGAGTTGCCCGTCGAATGTACATTTCCCGCTCGAGACACTTCCCCAGCCGAAACTAGTACGTACTTCTGCTTCGCTGCCCGTTTTCCGAAATTCAGCCCGCACAACCAGCCGACGAAACTAAATCCACCTGCGACAGAAAGTGTACAGAAAGTCCACGTGCTCCATATATCGCATCCCATGGCATCCCTTCCCATCGTTTGTAATTCAAACCTAACCGATCCCGCTACCTCGGAAACATCTGTGCATTCCTCCTCCCTCATCCTTACCTTGACCTCCCATGATCCATCACGCGCGTGCACCCACTTGCTGAAATACTCCGCCATCCATCCCTTACCATTTTGCCTTATTAGCCAGAAACATTTCCTGTGTTCATGTCCTAGCCTGCCCTGTGCCCGTCCCTCCTCTGTCGGCTTGGCATTTTTCCAACTCGTCAACTGCTGGCACGTCTCATTGCGTCGACTTATCCAGCGACAATGGAGGCTCTTACGAAGTCTCTCGTCCGTCCGCCGCTATGCGCCTCGGCGTCGCTTACCGGCCAGCCGTCAGTCGCCGTCAAATCGTCCTCTCGCGGCGGGTCTTCGTCTTCGTTACCGTCAGTTTCCAAGGCCGCGCCTTTGGCTGCAAACCGCTCCTCATCGAGCCGCACCGTCAGGACCTTCGCGCTTCCGAACGATGATGACGTCATCGCCTTAAATTCTGGAAAGAGCTTGGAGGAGCTCGAGGAGGCGATTCGCCGAATCGCGGAGGAAAACGAGCAGCCCCGGGCTCGAGCCGCGGCCGCCGCCGCCAATGCGCGCCGCGCTGAATCCGCCTTTAAAGGGGATGTCGACGTGTCAAGGCCGCGCAGGGGGGCCGTGCCGCCGCCGCCTCCGCCGGAGTTCGCGGCGGCGCCTGTGGTGGTCGAGTATTTGGATACGACTATAGGGGGGGTGCCTGCAGAGGAGGTTGCTTCAGTCGAAGCTAAATACCTCGTCGAAGGTGCGTTGCGAGTGTTATTACGACCAATCCGAAGAGCTTACGGAAACATTGGTCGTGGTAGTGTTGGTGCTGGTTGTTATGTTGGTTGTAACCGTTCGCTAAGAGGAGCTGATTACCTCGTCAAAAGTTTGTTGCTTCATGTTAAAGGCTTAAGGAAACAATGGCCGTGGTAGTGCTGGTGCTGGTTGCTGTGCTGGTGATGGTGGTTGGCTTGTAACGATTCCAGGAGTCAGCGAAATGAGCGTGGTATTCGTTGTTGTGTTGGCGGTTAGCGCTCTCGCGTGTGATTGTAAACCGCGTGGTTTGTGACTGTAATGGTGGCTGGAGGTGGCAGTCAGAAAAGGCACTGTTGAGTGTGTGCATAAGTACGAGCTTTCCCGCCCCCACTTCTCTCCCCGCGCGTCTCTTCCCCCGTCCTTCCCCCCGAATGCAGAGGCAGGGAGCGTGAGGAGCTGGCAGGAGGCGGTGGAACAAGAGGCCGCCACGTCAGCAGCGGCGGATGGCAACCTCGAGATTGCCGCAGCAGGCGGGATTGAGGATATTCAGAAGACGGAGAACCCCATGAGGTGCGGTGCGAAGGCGTGAGGTGCGGTGAGAAGGGGTGAGTTGAATGAAGGCACCTTGTATGTATGAGGGGAATGGGAATGAGGTGGTGGTCGTCGTATTAGGTGCGCATGGGAACCTCGAGATTGCTGCAGCAGGCGAAATTGGGGACTTTCAGAAGACGGAGAACCCCATGAGGTGCGGTGCGGTGCGGTGAGAAGGAATGAGGGGACGAGAAGGTCATGAGGGTGAGAAGGCGTGGGGTGCGTGCGGTGAGAACGCAAATGTGTCCTTCCTTAAAGTCGACTCAGAAGCTGCCTTGACTCCAGTTACGTTTTCCCCTCCCTCATCTTTCTTCTCTCTCCTCCCTTCCCTCCCATCCCCAGCATTGTTTTCGTGGCGTCGAAGGCAGCCCCCTACTCTGAAACAGGTGGGCTGGCGGGCGTGGTGCGGTCGCTGCCGGTGCTCCATTCCCTCCGTCATATTACAGTCTGTCTTCCTCCCGCCCACCCCTCATTCTTCCCCCAGCATTGTGTTCGTGGCATTGTATGCAGCCCCCTACTCTGAAAAAGGTGGGCTGGCGGGCGTGGTGGGGTCCGCACCGCACCGCCCGCCCATGTGCCCTTTCGTCCCCCATTCCCCGTTACCCCGCATCCTCCCCCTTTTGTCCCCCATTCCCCCTTACCCCGCACCGCATCCTCCCCCTTTCCCCTTCCAGCACCGCCCGCCCATGTGCCCTTTCGTCCCCCATTCCCCCTTACCCCGCATCCTCCCCCTTTCCCCTTCCAGCATTGTGTTCGTGGCGTCAGAGGTAGCGCCCTACCCTCATACTACCTTATCCCCTCTCCTCCCACCCCCAGCATTGTGTTCGTGGCGTCAGAGGTAACCCCTTACTCTAAAACCGGCGGCCTGGCGGACGTGGTGGGGTGGCTGCCGCCCATGTGCGCTTCTCCCATCTTCCCCTTCACCCCTGATCCTCTCCCCCTTCCACACCACCCCCAGCATTGTGTTCGTGGCATCAGAGGTAGCCCCTTACTCTAAAACCGGCGGCCTGGCGGACGTGGTGGGGTCGCTGCCGGTGGCGCTGGCAGCGAGGAGCCACCGCGTGATGGTGGTGGCACCGCTACCACTGCCGGTTCTCCACTCCGCTCATATTCCCTCGTCCCTCCTTCCTTCCTTTCCCTCGTATGTCCTCTCTTTTACCGTGTCCCTGTCGCCCCTCATCCTCATGCCCCCCCTCCCCTCACAGCATTGTGTTTGTGGCGTCAGAGGTGGCCCCTTATTCGAAAACAGGTGGCCTGGCGGACGTGGTGGGGTCTCTGCCAGTGGCGCTGGCAGCGAGGGGGCACCGTGTGATGGTGGTGGCTCCACGCTACATGAACGGCGTGACAGACAAGCTTTATGCTGGGGCGTTTGACATGCAGGTGAAAGAAAGGCAGCACACATGGATAGGGTAGGGTATGGTAGGCAGGGAGGGAGGGAGGGACGTTGTGGTGGCAGCGAGGGGGCAGCGAGTGATGGTGGTGGCGCCGCGCTACATGAACGGCGTCACTGACAAGCTATATGCGGGGGCCTTCGACATGCAGGTGGGGGGATAGATAGGGTGGCGGGTGACACAGGTAGGTGACCGTGAGGGGGGGGGTGGCATGCATGTGTGGGGGTGGCACGCAGGTGAGGGACGAACAGAGGTTTGACATGGGTTGACATGACATGCAGGGAGGTCCTTCTACCCCGCATCTGCTGTTCCCTCCATCTCCACCTACTGCCATCTAATGTACCTTCCCAGTCTTTCCCAATTCCCGACAACCAAATGCCGCTGCTCCCTTCCCCCATCCCCCCCACCCGTGCCCCCTCCATGCTCTCAGAACCCATCCCGTCTCGGATCTGTTTCTGCCCCTTTCCTCATTGTCTCTCCCTGTATCCAACCTGTCTTCCCTTGGCCTCCGACCTGTCTCTTCCTCCCCTTCCCCCTGTGGGTGCATGGACACAGTGTCGCATCAAGTGCTTCTGCTTTGAGGGCGCACACGAGGTGGCCTTC